TCTGAGTCTTAAAGAGTGGGCATGTTTCTAAGGTAGGTAGAAAAACAGATGTAGCAGAAAAGCGTAGTGTAGTGCAATGTGCTGGGGACCTAGGCAGCAGATGTTAATGCACAATAATAATATTAAAAAAAACAGTATGCAGTGCAGGAATGGGTAGGGTTCAAGTCAGGGATGCAATATCAATATTGAAACCAGGAGTGAATCCTTGAAGCCATATCTTCCTCCCAAATATTTCTTGAGACAAGAACGGTCCTTGCCTTGCCTGAAGAAGGAGTGACCCCTTACCTTCCTCACCACCATAGAGTACACTTCATCATAGCATTGGCCATCATTCATTGAGTCTCTCCTAAGTACAGAGCAGGGTGCTAAAATACCTTTAATAGCAGCAAGGACTGTATGCAGTCAGCACTGTACTGTCATCATTATCTTCAGTTTTCAGAGGAGGAAATCTAAGTTCAGAAAGTGTAAATGACACTTGTTCACAATGGCTGACAAATGACAGAGCTGGGATTTGGCAAAAGCAGAGGAATGAAGAAGGGTTTAATTGACTGGGCCAATAGGCATGGAGTTGACAGTGAGGGCCAAGACTTTGTGAAGGAAGTAAGACCTAAAGAATGTTTAGTAATAATATTGATAATAGTAATGAAAATACTTAACTTTTTGTAACATATGATTTGTGCTAGACTGTGCTGTTTGAGTAAGTATTACCTCACACAGTCCGCACAACAATCCTGTGCAGAATGAATAATTATCATTTCTATTTTGTGGACTAGTACACTGAGGAACTGAGTGGTTTCAGTTTTGCCCCAAAACACATGGCTTGTAAGTGCTGATGATGGATTTAAAAGCAAGAATAAGGGCATTTGGCACAGAAGAACTGAATAGCAAGGAGGCGGGGCATGAAAGAGCATGGAAGACTGAGAATCACAGCAAGTGGGGATCGCTGGGTGGTGAGATGGGGATGGCTGGGACTTAAGGATTGTGAGACTGGAGACATGCACAAGAACTACATTGTGAAGGGCTTATGGTACCCTATGGTCAGTTGAATCACAGGCGGATTTTAAGCAGAGCAGACCTAATCCTCTCAGCATGGTGATTGCATGCCTCTCTATTTTAGAGATTTTGTTTTTATTTTAATGTGTGTGTGTGTGTGTGTGTGTGTGTGTGTGTGTGTTTATGTCTGTGGGCATCCCCAGAGGCCATGAGAGATGTTAATGTAGAAACTTATCGTTACCCGTTGGGTGAGCACCAGTGGCACATGAGACAGAGAGGGTAATGAGGGGTGAATATGATGAAATGCATTATATGTGTGTATGAAAATGTAATAATAAAAGCTATTCTTGTACAATTGATACGCACTAATTAAGTAGTAAAATTCTAAAAACCAAACAAGCCCAACTAGGACTCACCAATCTGGAAAAGGAAAACGACCTTTGCTCTCCATCCCATTATGGGGCCAGCAAACTATGCTGAAAGCAGGTGCGGACTGAGAGCAGGAAACGCAGAATCTCTTGTGGTGAAGCTTTGTTCTATTTTATTTGCTTGCCACACAGGGGCACTCAACTCATTTCCTGTGTCATTATTTCTAAAGACATAAAGCCTGACATTTTCATTAAGACTTACCATATCTATGTCATAAAATTAAATTCCGAGAGAGAGAAACAACCTGATGGCAATAAAAATGCAACCCAAGACTGGAGCATTATGGGAAACTCACAAACATGTGTCATATGCTTGCGTGAGTAAAAATATCACTCTCTTTTTCCTAAGTTCCCGGGCAGCATAACCCAGTCAAATAGTCATAGAAGATCTAGTTATATCCCCCAAGGGCCTAAATCACTTAATTTTCCCTTCAGACTTCAAGAGTTTCCAAGAAAATCATTCAACCATTATTGCACTGAGTGATAAAAAACGTGCTTGTGCCTTTATAATACAGGGTGGATGGATCAGGACTTGGTGATTTTTGAGGTTTAAATGCATGCTCAACAGTGTTAATTATAGGGAGGAGGCCACTTTATTTTATTAAAGACAGTCTAAACATGTCTGCTTAGAATCTCTGTATGACAAGGTTGTTTCCTGCCAAGAGAGTTCTACCAGGAAAAAAAAATGTGAGACAAGTAAAATAAATAAGCATGAAGCAATGAATGCTAGAAAAAGTAATTTCAATGGAGGCGGAAAGGAGAACATGAAGTCTAGTGAAGCATGCCATAATCCCTCAGGCCCAACTTTATTAAGTCTCAACTATTAAACCAAATTAACAATATGAATTGTTCTGTGCAATGGCTGAACACATCCATTCTGGAATTAGGCTACGCAAGTTTAAATATTGACTATTCTTCGTCCTCATGCCCTCCTTAACTTTAGTCAATTGCCCTCATCGTGCTTCCCATATTCTTTATGGTTATTAACTGGCTCCTACTAGATTATTAGTTCTATGAATAAGGCAAAAGTTCATGTAGTAGGTTCTACATAAACATGTTTTTGAGTTGAATAGAGTTGTTAGCTTCCTGATCATGGATAATTTGCCTTTATGTCTCAGGTTTTCCCATGTGTTAACTGAAGACCACTGTTAAGACTCAATGTGATTTTGGGAAAGCATCTTTCGAAAATTTTAGTGCCCAACACCTTCAAAATACTGGCTATTATTATAAGGGAAAATACCTGTCTAGAAAGCATACTGAAACAGGTAACTCAATAGGCTAGAGCCCTTTCTTGAAAAGTGACATTGTATTTGCATTAAAAAATGATCTGAAGTAAATCTAGCAAGAGTGTTAGAGTATGAATTATTGATCATGAATGCTTTGGCTAGTTTTATATTTTTCTCTGTATTTTTGCATGTCAGTGTTTTTAAAACATGTTCCATTTTTTAAATAAACTTTCCTATGGATGACTAGGTGAGTCTCTGCACCTCCCCTACCATGCTTGTTAAATCTAGAAAGGCAAGCTTGTAATCCTTGGGATGTTGGCAGGTGAGTTCTAAGGCTGGATCACAAACAAACAAATAAGCAAAAACCAAACCAAACCAAACCAAACCAACAACAACAAAACATCCACTACTTTCTGTTTGCTCTTTGCTTGCTGGAATACTCATGCTTGGAACTCTGGGCATCATGTAAGCCATTTGACTGCTCCAAAGCAGTGCAGTTCATTAACTTGGTCCTGTAGAAAGGCTATATGTAGGCATTTGGTTTGACACTTTGAGATTTTGGATTCTCTTAGCCAAAGCACTTGACATGTGACTGAATAAGGCTTCAGGCAATCCCAGCCATCCCCCACCCAACCATCGTAACCACCAGCCTTCAAGTATTCCTAGCCAAAGCTCAACACCATGGGGCAGAAGGAACTCTTTCCACTGTCTCTTCTGAACTCCTGACATGAGGAACCCATGAACAAATTGAAATCACAGTGCTTTGTTTGAAATTTTTCATAATTTAAAGAAAGACCATTCTAAGGAACATCTCCCTGCCCTCACTCTGCCACCCTCAATTCAGGTTTAGGTTACTTGAAAAAGATCCAGAGTGTGCCTCAAGAGTAAGTGGCTGCATCATGATGTCATTTAATGGGCACTGAGTCTCCAAAACACATCACTCCCTTTTTAGGCGAAGATGTGCTTGAACCCACTAAAATCTAAAAATTCCCCCAAAGGCATAGAGACAGGAAAGGAATGGGGACACAGAAGCAGTTTTTGCGGCCTGGGCATCCTAGTCATTGGGGCTTTTGCTGTATCCTCTGAAGCTCTCTCACCAAATGAATTTTTAATGTAAAATAAAACAACAGCAGGGAGCTATTCATCATATTACTTTAAATTTTCAACTCATCAGTAAGCCCACTACCTTTCCTGAACTGTGAATTATTTGTTGATAAACTTGGCAACCATCTTGTGACTACCACAATTATATTGTAGAACATTGCCATCTGTATTGGAACATTTCAATTAGAAATAGGCTATAGATTAGTGATTCGTGGTCATCAGCTAATTCTTTAATTAGTAAAACAGCCTCTATTATATAAAGAAAACCCATGGCATTATTCAGCTACCAAACATGACTCCAAACATGTGCAATAGTTG